TGTTGCTTAAGCTTATGTATTCAGTCATTATTCAATGGGATACTAAAATCCATGTGAAAAAAATTGCTTCTCACTGTTCTCAGGTCAAATATTTATATGCGATTAAAAATGCGATTAATTGCGATTAATTAATTACAAAGCCTGTAATTAATTAGATTAATTTCTTTAATCGAGTCCCGGCCCTAATATAAATATATATATCCTATATACACCATCATGTATAATGATGGTGTATGATGTAGAAGGAAGTGTGGTAGATAACAAGTAAATATAGAGTTACATACAGATCCATGTTACAGCAAAAGATGGAATAACTAAGAAGCACGCAGTATAATAATAATTACACGCAACAATTAAATAACTGCTCAGCATCTCCACCACAATCCCAATCTGCTGTGTCCTGTTTTCCTCCCCTCTGCATAACACCCCATCACACATACGAAACACAACGCAGAGTCCGAGGGTGTTAAGAGTATGTTTATTTAAATGTCCTCCTCTCTACTGGCCAACACAGGGAGCATATGCTGGGTGTAGAATTTTTCCAGGAGGAGGAGATTTCCATGCCATGCAGGGTCTTTGGGGATGGGGATGATGATCGCCTCCTTCGTGGTCCACAGTAGCAGAGACTCCGGTCTGTGATGTGCAGCTGTTATATAATATACAATACATTTTTGAAAAACATTTGATCAACAAAAAAAAGGATTTGGTCAGGATCTAGAGTCAGTGTGTAGTTTATTAATTAATCAATGCTCTCTACATTAGGAAAACAGATACCAGTGTACCAGAGGGAGTCACACACAGCTGTGCCTAGATAACCAAACAAATTGACAAAATCCTTGAATCTACACACAGCAAATAAACTCAAATGACACAACGAGATGTAAAAGGAGATCACACATATAGTCGATATAAAACTGTCCGCTTCAATCTGAAGAGCAACTAAAACAAAACACGGGAGTGTATCTTGTTCTTGTGAACACTAATGTTATCCACAGCATACACAGAGACCACGAAGTTCTTAAGGAGAAAACTAGTTGCTAAAACAAAACACTTTAGTGTACCTTGTTAGCTAATGTTAGCTAGCTGACATTAACGTTAAACATTGCACTCATATTACTCACTGAAACCTTGTAAAGCCGGTCCCGCATGCTGGCTCTTACAGAACCGCTCCCTTTCGTGTATGTACAGCTCTCAACATGCCCAGACTTGTAGTGATTTTCACCTCGTTTTATACTTTTTTCGCCTCATTCTGAAAGAAACAGGTGAAATTTGCTAACGTGACGGCCATCTTTGTGATGGTGACGCGTATTGTGCAAGACCAGAGACCTGTAGTTCACTGTGTAACTTCACAGTTTTACGACATTTTTTTTTGACTTGCAAAATGTTCTTTTAATTTGACAAACATCATATGTGTCATTCGTGGCACAATTCAAACGGGATCGAAAGATGACTTTTCTCTCTCCATTGACTTCAATGTATAATTTTCCGCTTCCGGGGTTCCATGGGTCGGAAGTAGATGGGCGGGACTTCGCCTCTCTATAGAGACAGAACGTCACAATTAAATAAAAACATATATTAAATAATAAATGAACTGAAAAATAAGTGACGAATGAATGCAAAATCCAGGATTCGACAACCCTCAAAAAGACAACATAGAATAGCGGACTATACATTCAAATGCGCGTTCCCATGTCAAGGGGTGCATTTCACGATGGGGGTGCATAATTTGACACAACACCGGGACACTTCCTCCCGCCGGCAGTCCCCTCCTGGAGGACGGAGCTCCCCACCCGGGAGCCGGAGTGGGAGCCGGAGCGGGAGCCGGAGCGGGAGCCGGAGCGGGAGCCCGCCCGGGTTCGGTCACTCTGTCCTCGTGAGGGCCGGTGTTCTGGATTAACTGGTTTTCCGATCAACTGGTTTACAGAGGTGGGGGGCGTGGCCTTCGACTGAAATACACATTTCGATCACTTCTTCTGTTGTTTACATACATCTTTTGGTATATTTGGCTCGGTAGGATGGTTTTGATGCACATTCAGTACCAGTGTGTGAGGTTGTGGTTACGATGGCGATATCCGGACACGAACAGCGAGGACTTCAAAAAGAAAAACGAGTTGACTGGGGATGTCTGTTCAAAACATTGCGAGCTCGAATAAATCATTTGATGCTGATTGGTCTGTAATTGGACATCATTGCCTTATCCCCAGATTTAAAGATCGGTGTCACCGTGGCCACCTTCCAGGGTGATGGGACTTGTAAAAAGAACAAGATTATGGTCAGAAAGACCAGTCATTAAGTTTTAACTATTCTGTCAGCTTTGTTTGTACATAATAAATCTATCATAGTCTTGGAGGTTTAGGTTATTCTAGTCGGTTTATCCATTAGTTGTATTAAGTTGTGATTATCCATGATCCGTTTTAAGCTCTTTCTATTTTGTTTATCATTCCAGTTGATATTAAAGTCTCCTAGAATAATTAGCTCTTTGTTGGAGTCACAGGAATTCAGCATGAGTTTTACCTGGTCATAGAAATCCACCTTAGCGGTGGGTTGTCGATACAGGCAAATCATGGTGAGGGACATTTCCTCAGACATTTTTTATTATAATTTTTAATTTGAAGGTCAAATAAATCAGACAGTTATAGTGCAGCACAATATATTATCCCTTTGTATAGGCTTTTTATTTTTACTTCGGTACAAGTTTTGCGCTATTCAAGGGATAATAAACTGAGAAAAACCTTGGGAAACACTGGATTAGTGAACACAACACCACTTATTGATTGGCTGATGAGCACCAGGTGTGAAGCACCAATTACTATTCATAAAGGAGCCTAACCTACATTTACATAATTCATATTATACATCAGCAACATTTATCAATCAAAAGCCCTTGCCATATTGCAGATAATATTATCATACACTTTGGGTCATCAGGGACCCTGAAGCTTTAAATGTTTAATGACATTGAATGTCCGTGTTTCCCGCTTGAACTACCACAAGCACTACTTTATGAAAACAGATATTGCTTTCCATAAGTTTGACACCAGACTGCCAATTTGCAACTAATTTGCCATTCCCATTACATTGTCAGTCACGAAATAGCTTTGCATAATACTATGGACATAATACTCTCAGTCTGATAATCCATCATTGCCCGGTCTGTTGCTTCTGTGTGAAGAAAAGCGTCATTTGCAGCAAGTTCCTGGGCTGAGACCATTTTAATGAAAGTACAACACGGGAACACTGTGGGAGATCCTCTGTATTCATTTTATTAGAATGCACTTTAAGATAGTCAGATTTGTTTTCAACTTTTGTTTTATTCTTTAAATCATGCCCTGAATATCCGTGGTTTTCATTGCAATCAATCCTTGACTCTCAGGGTGACATGCACAGGATTTGGAGTGATTTCTCTCCCTCCCTCCTCTCCCTTTCAAATGTAACTAATATAAAACCAGATTATATCTGAAGATTAAAATAACGAATGAACTACAACATGGATTTAGGCCAGGTTAAAGCATCAGCTGCGAAACCCAGTACAGTTGGTTTGAGATTGCATGACTACACAACATCCGGTGCAAAATATGACTCATTATTTTTGGCTTGTGGTTATGCTTTAAACCTGCTTTCCTCAGGTGTTACAGAGGCTACACTGACGTCAGTGCTGGCCTAATGCTGTAAAGCCCTCTTATTTAAAGCTCTATGCAGTGTTGTATGCAGTTTGTATGACACACTATGGCTTAAAATAGGGAACACTAAGGAAAAAGAGAAAGTATATTATCGGGATTTGCCTTTTGCATGAGGCAAATGTGACCTTTAAACTTGCAGGACTTTACTTGAAATAAATCAGAGTTTACAAAGTGAATTCTCTGTTGGCCTGTGTTGGCTGCCTGTCTGTTGTCCCAGCTGGCAGGAGATGAGTCATTGAAATTCAGATGTAATAAAGCCAACAAGGCAGACATACGGGCCTCGCCGATGTGCCCCCCAATCACGTGACAGAGGGATAATAAATCAAAGAACTGTCCAAACTCTTTGACTCACAGTTTCCGTTAATAACTCCATTGTAAGGCTCCCTGTAACATAAGGGATGGAAATAGTACTTACGTTGTACAAAACAACCAGCAACTTATATTTCAGCATTCCATAAGGATAGGTTCAAATGCGTTTTGGAATCCAATGACACATCTCAAACTGATCTTTTTTTTCATTTTTACATAACCCCTCTCTTCATATACATGGTTTCTATTGCAACCAGCTGCTGCAATCAGCAAACAATAGTACATTTAAATCTTTTCACACTTAGCATAATCTCCCCACACACAAGTCTAACTGTGAGGCAAAGTTCCAGTATTTATGATCAGAGCAACATCTGCTAGAAAACTTGTAATTCTAGCTGTTGTGGTAATGTTTTTCCTAACTTATGGTAGAGTTACATCTCACTGTCATTTTCAGTGGCGATTAATCAGCCAATGATATTCTAAATTAATCAACTGTTCTATATCATAAGAGAAAGTGGTGAAAAACATGCAACCAAGTCTACAGAGTCCAAGGTGATGTCTTTAAATGTCTTGTTATGCAAGTTCAAAGCCCATACATAATCACTACAATGTGATAAAAAACAGAGAAACCATATTTTACTCCCATTTCTTCATGAAAATGTACAATCACAAGAGTCTATATCAATCGACTGATTACTGAAATAACAATAATGAAGCTCTGAAAGCGATTTATTTAAGAAAAACCTACTTGTGTTGTATGGGAACACATTTATTCCAGGAGAGTGTTGTATTCTTCTCTTTCAATATCTCACTCTGTGGAGGGACAACTAAATGACCACAATATGAAAAGCATTATTGAACAGACCTCCGCAGGCCACAATACTCTGGATAAACCCTTCTGCCAATATGCTGTCTAATATAACAGACATGCAAGCCTTTATTGTGAAATGCCCTCTTCCCAGCTGTGCTCTCAGCTATAATTCTCCACTGGGCGGCTACTTAACATTCACTGATAGCAGGCCTCATGTAGCAGAGCTGCTAGCCTGCTGCCCTTTGTTGACTATCTATTATATTTCACTGGTTAAGCCAGTGTTTAATACTGGCCTGCTGCCCAGCTATCCAGACAGGGGCCACAATATTGTGTCTGACTGGCTTCATGACGCTTTATTCCTTAATCCCTGCAGCCACCCCTAATGACTCTCAGACTTTCCCTCTCATGCCATTCCTTCTTCTTTATTAAAGCTGGAAAGGCATCTGTCAGTCTGTGTGACTTTCTGTAAAGCCGAGGATGATGGTGCATACAGTCATAAATAAGATAAGACAAACAATGGTGGCAGAAAAGAATCGTAGTGTGGCAGCAGGTGAAAGCAACAATAGAGAGGTGTCACGGAGGCGCAGGATCATGAGAGAAAAGCACCTCGAAGGACTGATGGAGGCCTGAAAGCGACAGGAAATGGATTTATATTCACCGCTCATTCTGCGCTCCGTTTGACTTTTGGAAGGGAAGCAGATGTGCTTCTGTGCGCGCCGCAGCCTCTGTAGTTGCGGAGTGATTCACAGGCTTTCAGATGAATATGGAACAAGCCCAGTTCGCCACATTAGCAGGCTCATTTCCCACAGAGAGACAGTCAATCCGTCACTTCTTCACTACTCTGAAAGACTTAGGGAGGAGGGAGTGGGGGGGGGGGGGGGTACAGAGAGACAGAATGAGAAACAGAATGAGAAACGTAATGAGAGCGACTGAATGACAGAGGGACAATGAGAGAGAGTGAAAGAGTGAGGATAGCAACAGAAGAAGAATGTCTGTGGCGAGTTTGTTTTCTGATGCATGGTTTAGAGCGATGTGGGATATAATGTGATCATCTGCATGGAAGAAAGTCTCTGGGATACACGGGTCATGCTTTGTGAACAGCGGGCCAGCGTTCAGAAGTGAGAGATTGGCTCTGTTGTTTATCTACATTGTCATTTCTCCAACAAACGATAGCCGCTTCCGTCAACGCCACAAATCTCTCGTTGCATGGAAACAGCGATTACCAGTGTTGACAGTCAACACCTAGAAAAATCATAAGGCAGATGGCAAAAGGAAGGAAATGTGGCCAAGATCAACATTACTACAAAGTTTTTAAAAATAAACCACAGCACAATGGCACAGAGGAAAATGTAGAGTCACAAT